ACTGAGGTTGAGGCCTAGCTGAGAACATTTTGACTAGAGTTTGGTTGAGGAGAAAATTGCTGTCAAGTGCAAGAAGTTACAATAGTGGGCTCATGTTTGTAGCTTGGACTAGGAAAATGGCTTGCAGCCTTTCACTTCGTAACCTGATGACCTGAGCATGGAAGATGGGTTGGGGGAGGGAGGACTATTGGGTACAAAGGTCTGTGCAGAAATGTTCCCCACCTTCTTGTCTTAAATTAAGTACACTTTTTTTTTTTTTTTTGAATTGGAGTCTCACTCTGTCGCCCAGACGGAGTGCAGTGGCCGCTCTCGGCCACCGCAGCCTCGACCTGCTGGGCTCCGGTGATCCTTCCGCCTCAGCCTTCTGAGTAGCCGAATTACAGTCGCGCACTACCATGCCCGGCTAATTTTTTGATTTATTGTGGAGATAAGGTCTCGCCAAGTTGCCCAGGCGGGTCTGGAACCCGCGGGCTCAGGCAATCCACTCACCTCAGCCTCCCAAAGGCACAGCACTACAGGCTGAGCCACCGAGCCCGGCTGAAAATGTAATTTTTAAAATATAATAATTCCTCACTGTCCCTTCAAAACTGGAATGTACATGACTTTTTCTGCCCAAAAATTGCCATGAGCAGCTAACATCTTTTCTGATAATTAAAGAGTTAGGAGTAGCCAGATGCAGTGGCTCATGCCTGTAATCCCAGCATTCGGGGAGGAAGAGGCAAGAGGATTGCCTGATCCCACGCGTTCAAGACCAGTCTGGGCAACTTGGTGAAACCCCATCTCTACAATAAATCAAAAAATTAGCCAGACATACATAGTTAAGAATAATGAAAGATATAGTAGTTTCTAGACAAATAGTACTATAATGTGTGGGGGTGCAGCAAAAAAGATTTATACACATTTTAAGCAATATTGTCTATGTATTACTTTTCAAAGTTGACTTTAATTATGGTAGCAATGTGTAGGATGAAGTTCACTCAAATGTTAACATCACCTTGCGACAGGCAGGTATACACTGAGTATTACAATTTTTTGTGTGTGTGTCGGAGTCTCACTCTTGTCACCCAGGCTGGAGCGCAGTGGCACGCTCACGGCCACCACAGCCTTGACCTACTGGGCTCAGGCAATCCTTCCACCTCAGCCTTCCAAGTAGTTGGAACTATAGATGCATGCCACACACTCAGCTAAGAGTATTACAATTATTATTATTTTTTTAGAGACAAGTTCTCATCAAGTTGCCCAGGCTGGTCCCGAACACCCGGACTCAGGCAAGTCTCTCGCCTTGGCCTCTGAAAGTGTGGGGATTATAGGGTTGAACCACTGCACTGGGCTAAGTATTACAATTTGTTGTTGTTGTTGTTGTTTTATTGTTTTGTTTTGTTTTTGAGTTGGAGTCTCACTCTGTCACCCAGACTGGAGTGCAGTGGCTGCTCCCGGCCACCGCAGCCTCGACACACTGGGCTCCAGCGATCCTTCCGTCTCAGCCTTCCAAGTAGCTGGAACTACAGGCGCACGCCACTATGCCCAGCTAATTTTTTTGATTTATTGTAGAGATGAGGTCTCGCCAAGTTGCCCAGGCGGGTCTCGAACCCACGGGCTCAGGAAATTCACTCGCCTCGGCCTTCCAAGGCGCAGGATTACAGGCTGAGCCACCGAGCCCGGCCAAGTATTACAATTTTAATAGTCTTTTCTTTCTTAAAATGTGCATACTGTTTTTGGCACCCTCTGTATAGTAGAGCAGAAGAGGACATAATGTAAGTGTAGGCAGGTGGACTGGGTTTCT